AGACAATATCATTAACACTGACCATGACCCTACAACAAATCTGACGGCCGTTCACTTTAACTTGTCTCCTTACCCGATAAGAAACCCACGAACGCTAAGGCCACAGCAAGTTAATTTTATGGATGACATCCTCCGCAGACTCCAAATCTAATGCGATAGGGCGAAAAAACAAGGCGGGCCAAGAAAAAACAAGATTCCTACATTTTCAAATTTTGACATCATAAACCTTGGTAAGCAAGAAATAATACATATAGTGTGCTAGGTCTACTGCCTACTATTACAACATCCATTTCTCACTGAAACATTGAACTTTGAAAAATAAAAGTTTTCAGTGGGAACATCACATACACACAGCCAGCACCACATATAAAAGGAATGTAATACTTCACTGCATCAAAGTAAAAGACAAAACATTAAATCAGAGCCTTTTCTTGTCTCCTCTCTTCATAGTAAGTTATCTGCCATCCACCTTCCGGCATGGCAACAGACATCTTTGCCAATGTGGACCACAGTCAGAAGGCAACAAAATTTCATTTTTTTTTCCAAAATCAGGCGAAAATTAATGCTCGCGCTGATGTCATCCATGAAATTTACTTCCCGTTGCCTAGCGGTGTTTACACGGTATAAACGACCGGTCTTCACGGTCAGGTTCGATCTCAGCACCGATAGCCGTGACGTTGAGGGGGCGGGGGCGGGTGCCTTCATGTCCCGATACTGCAAACCGAGATTAGCGAGAGGAAGGGCAAAAGTGCAAAGTTTGATACAAACCCCCAGATTTATAACAACAATAACATATAACGTGGGGTCGTGTGGCGTAGCGGCAGAGTGCGCGACTCGGAACTTAGAGTCCCGGGTTCGAGTCCTGACATGCCACCGATCTTGTGCCATTGGGAAAGGCACTTTACACGACTTTCCTCACTTAGCTCAGGTGTAAATGAGTATTGTCCTGTCATGTATTTATCCCCTGTGTTGGTGACGGCATTAACATAAGTTGACTTGTGTGTGTGTCGTCACCACGTTTGGTGATTACATGTTGGAATTTAAAAAAAAAACAATAACATATCACTCGGCGACCGCTGTAGTCTATTGTTCTCCATTTCTTCTTCTTCTTCTTACGACAATTAGCATTTATCAACAATGTGAAACTATCGCAGAGTGGAACTCGCTGTCACCAAGTACAGTAGGGGCATTGTCATTAGATAGCTTTAAACAATGTCTAGAGTTAGATGTTCGAGGGTTTAGGTGTAACAAGTCGATCGGTGTAATGTAGCCAGCTGCCGCCGCGCCGCGTGCCTGCGAAGCTGGTGTGCTACACCGAAGGGCGGTTATACCGGCTATACCGCGTACCGATACAGAATGTCTTCTTTTGCAATAAACAGAATGGCTTCTTTTGCAATAAACTTATCAATTATTATTACATTATAAAAACTTGGCAAACTGACGAAGAACAGGCGTCCCTGAAATATTGGCTGTTCCTTTTTGTATATATCCTCCCGTCGGAACGGGCGACGGCTTCTTTTGCAATAAACTTATCAATTATAATAACATTATATAAACTTGGCAAACTGACGGAGAACAGGCGTCCCTAAGATATTGGCTGTTCCTTTTGGTATACATCCTCCCGTCGGAACGGGCGACGGCTTCTTTTGCAATAAACTTATCAAATATTATTACATTATATAAACTGGGCAAACTGACGAAGAACAGGCGTCCCTAAAATATTGGCTGTTCCTTTTGGTATACATCCTCCCGTCGGAATGGGCGACGGCTTCTTTTTTTTTTTTAACTACTTCTTGTTCTGACCTACAGCAAGACGTGTATGTGACGTCCACTACCAGGCTAGAGTCAACAATCCTAGCGGAGTGAGACCGTGTGTGTGCCCGACTAGTTTGTTTGTCAGGCCCGGTAGAATGGATTTTGCAGGTGGGACGTCGTGTGTGGCAGACTCACGTCCGTTGCTAGGCGACGAGGCACGGGGCACCTCCTGTTGAAAAAGTTGTACGAAAGTCATCATATCATACTCTCCAAGCAGAGGCTTGGGTTATTTTTGGCGTGTTTTTAGATTTTTTTATCAGGGTTTCATTTTTGCACTGGAATTTTTCTTTCACCCATAAGATATCAGTGATCACAATCTCTGAGATACAGTGAGATGTATAGACTGAGAAAGGAGTTGAGAATGTAAGGAAAGAGGAAGGAAAGGCTAACAGAAAAACTACCTCTGCGAATTTTCTACACCCCCAGATACCCTTAAGGCATCCAATGCGATTTCAGGGCAGCAAAGCTGGAATTATTCTGAATAAGGCAATCTTTGCAATTGTGATATATTGACTCATACTGCTTCACATCAGCACATTTGAGTCAGCATTTCATACTTTGGGGATTTAGAACTGCCTAAACAAGCCCCAAGATGAGCCCTTAATTTTCTGGGTGGTACCTTAAAAATCAGCCCAGGGAAGCTTCCAGTAACCATTTTCCGTCAGAATTTTGGGAATTTTTGCTCCATGATGGTCAATATACATTGGGATAGCGTAGTTTAAACTCAGTATGTAGATAAGTGACTAGAATATTGGCTTTGAAAAATCTGCCCTAGAAACTGCACTGGCCGACGTTACTGTCGGGAAGCTAGTCTTCCAGATATATCACCACACAAAAGTCGTGCAATATCGCTGGCACGATTTCTAAAGTTATTCGGAGGCGGAGGTCAAAGTAATTAGGCTTCTCAAATCAAACAAATGTCCATTTGAGGCCAGCGTACATTTATACAGGTGCAGCCGGGACGCCGAGCCAACGTGCGCCGCTCCAGTTCGAAGATAGAAGCGTCTTCTCTCGTCACTTCGCATAAATCTTAGGACAAGACCATCCCAAGACCTTCAGAAAGACAGCAGATAAAATTAGACAGAAAGCCAAGAAGGGAACAAACTTTGAAGTCGATAATATCGTCTTTAAAAGGCATCCAATGCAGTTTTAAGGCTTGGAACACCGATTTTTCAAAGTCAATGTTCTAGTCATTCTAGCTACATAGTGAGTTGAAACCACACTGTCCCAATGTATATTGATGGAGCAAAAATCCCCAAAATTCTGACGGAAAATGGTTTCTGGAAGGGCCCTGGGCTGATTTTTAGGGTACCGCCCAGAAAATAAAACTCATATTGGGGAATTGGGGTTTGTTGCTGCTGTTTTAAACGCCTAAAGTATGAAATGATGACTCAAATGTGCTAATGTAAAGCAGTATGTATCAATATCACAAAGACTACCTTATTCAGAATATTTCCAATGTTGCTGCCCTGAAATCACATTGAATGCATAGAAATGGAATGCTGGATAAGTAATCATCATCAAAAATCGCTTAGTGTTGAACTTCGCCCTAACAAAAGTGCAGGCAGCGGATCAGTTAATGTGGGGCTGCACGAAACGTTTATTCTTACCCCATCCGTAAAAGGCGGGAATTATTTACATTCTCTCGCCGGCGACCCTTGCGGGAGAGCAGGGACGTGCGGCCGGGGCGCAGCGGCATTTATTCAGGTGCGAAGGCCAAGCGGTTCGCGGGGATTCTCCTCGTATATCGGCGGCGAGTTCCGGCAAGAATCACGTACCGGAGAAGATGAAGAGCACGGCAAACGCTCTTCTCACGCTCCGCTGAACTTTTGATTTGGATGAAAACGCCAACGACGAGTTGAGAAGCGTTCAAATCGTGTCAGAAGTCCATAGATCTCATCAATAAGACGTCATCTGTTATGGCTGAACGATGAAAAGAAAAGAAACATTTTTCAACCGATACCTGACTCAGTCATCATCACCAGAGTACGCATTTAAAGTACATGTATCAAGATTTCATTGTCCGTCATTTCGTGTGCCGTAAGCATGACTTCTTTCCCGAAAACTAGTGCCTTATAACTTTTCTTTCCCGAAAACTAGACATTTTACAAGTAGTTTGTTTAAGTTATAGAATACCTGTACGCGAGTGCGTGTGTGTGCGTGTGTGGTGTGTTTGTGAGCACAAAACAACGTATGTCGTATTCACAATAGTTCACATGTTGTACGAACGGCCCTACATTAAAATAACGTGAAACAATCATTTACAGCCCCCCTTATCGACGTAAAAATACGTTGATATACTTGTTTCCGACCAGTAGAACGCCCACCCTCTCTCAACCCAGGAAAGAACGCCACATCCTACGTTCTCTGAACAGACATAAACCCGGGCCAGAAATATCTTCTGCCGGGCCAGCGCGGAGAAGGTCACCGGTGATGTGTGGGATGTAACACGGTGGTTGTCCAAATAAACAGCCCTGCTTAACGGTAGCGGCCTCGGGGGCATGTTTACCGGGGAAGGAGGAAGCGCCTGGCGGCTGTTGAAGCGACCTGTGTCACCTCAGAAACCAGAGATGGCATTTAGATCTGTCTGATGACAGCAAAGGTTTTGAGAGGGGGGGGGGGGGGGGT